CCCTATGCTGGGCATCCCCTCATCACGATGCCAATGTTAGGGATTCCCTTATTTTTTGACGGCGAATCCCTAAGATTGTCATCGCCTTTTGGCGTGTCAATCTTAGGGATAGGGATAAGGTCGAGGCTGGTAACAGCGTCAAGACGGGCCTGTCCCCCTACAGGCCGACTTTCACAGAAAACTTACAGATAGTCCAAAAAGATACCCTGAAATATTCAAGAATGGTCCAAAAATCGTCCCAAGGCTATTTAACGATCTTTGAATAGTCACCCTGTAGAGGGACAGGCCCGACTTAAGGTTAGCGATCCATGGATCTCGCGCGCGGTCGCCACATCCATGGATCGGGGGAGGTGCCCTCCCCAAAACGCGGCCGGTGCCGCCTCGTTCGGCGGCGGAAATCCGCGATTTGCCATGGAAACGGGACCCGTCGCTAATCCACGCCCCCCTGATCCGTGTTTGCGATCGCCTGATATCCATTCAATCCAGCACGAGCGGAAGCTTCCACGGCTTACTGTCCGACTCCCTTCCCCCAGAAGGCGGGCCTGCTGGAGAGCATGGCGGACAGGCGCGTGAGCCCGGCCTGGGCGGGCGCGGCGGGCAAAAGGAGAACCCCGGAGGCCTCCCGCGGCAACTGGAAAACCAATTCACCCAGAGATAGATCCCACGTGTTGAAAGAAACTGGACAGCATTTTTTCGCCGTCGTCGGCCTCCAAGGGCACTTACCACCCCAGGGCCGTCAAAGAACATCTCAAGATGAAAAGCTGGCCCTGGGGAAAGGGCTGGGCTTGCGGGGACCCCGTAAGATACGTCGGATCCACGTCAGATTCTCGTTGGATCCACATCGGATTTGCGTCGGATTTACGTCAGATCCACGTCGGATGCACGTTGGATCCACGTCGGATCCACAAGCCAAATTCACGTTGGATCCACCGCGGATCCACAAGCCGGATTCACATTGGATCCACGTCGGATTCACGCCGGCTTTACTTCGGATCTACGACGCATTCACGTCGGATTCGAATCAAATTCGAGTCGGATTCGCGTCGGACTCACGTTGGAACATCGCCGCGCGAACGTCGTCCCAGATCTGACGGCGCAGGGCCAGCCGATACCGCTGTGGTGCGCCGCGGGAGGCCTCCCAGGACTCTCCCCACAGCAGCCTGCGGGGCACGGACGCGCGGCAACGGAGGTCTGGAAGCCAGCGGCCTCCTCCTTCTCCTCCTCCTCCTCCTCCTCCTCCTCCTCCTCCTCCTCCTCCTCCTCCTCCTCCTCCTCCTCCTCCTCCTCCTGTTTTACGTCGATCGGACTTCAAGCACGGGGCTCGTCCTCCTCCTCCTCCTCCTCCTACTCCTCCTCATCCGACGACGGCTCCGTAGCCATTTTGGCTCTAGCCAGCTCCCGCGCGGGTTCAAGGGTCTGCCTCTGGCGATAGCCAAACGGCGGGCCCTTCGCTCGGGCGCAGCAATGGCGACGGGAGGGTGTGGAGTTGCACGCCCAATTCGCCGCAGCCCCGAGGACCGCAAGGCAGGGAAGCTGTGGGCTAGGCAGTATGCCGATCGGGCGATCATCAAGCTCTCCGACGAGCTCAGGCGGGTGCAGGCGGACTTCGAGGCGATCATCGGTGGCCTCACCACCATCTTCGGGTGCGCGGAGCTGGCCGATCGCATCGTCGCGCTGGCGCTGGCCTTGGGGGAGAAGCTAGCAGGGCGCGTGCCGTCTGCGGCGCTAGCTGTGAGAAGGAACGTTGCCCTGCATTCCGACGCTCGCGGTGTACGAGTGTCGACTGCGCCGATCGAGCAGTTGCGGCGCCTGCAGAAATATGGGGCCAGGCTGGAGGCCCGTGCGGAGGCAGAGAGCTTCGCGTTCAACGCGGACGCTGCGGAGTTCTTCCCTTGTGGCCCGCTCGGCTCGTGTTGGGAATTTTTGCCGCTGCCTGGTGTGCTTGGCTATTCGGAGTCGGGGTTGATCGAGGCCGTCGAGGGCACCTCCTCGGCTTGCGCTGGCGACGGCGGCGAGGAGCATGTTGTCGGCCCTGCTTGCGACGTGCCGTCTAAGGAGATCACCCCCGAGTTTTTTCGCAGCTGGTTGCAAGTCGTCTTCTACTTCGGCGCCGTCACTGGGCCTCTGTCCTGTCGAAGGGCTGCGCCAGGGAGGTGGGGTTCCAGTTCGTGCTTTTCTTCCTAGGGAGCCGCTTCGTGCTGATAGACTTCCAGATCTGCCGGCTGGCCCAGGACCTGCGGCGGAGGGGGGCTGTTGCAGCACCTTGGACGAGCTCCTGGAGGCAGAGGTGCTGAAGTATGAGGCGCTGGAGGCCGCGCGTGCTTCGCCTAGGGCCCTGGGGGCCCAGCGGGAGGCCGTGGCGAGGGCCTTTGCAGCGCTGAACCTACCCGATGCCGATTCTGGTCGTCCGCTGTGTGTGCCTTCCGGGCTTCCTCCAGATCCAGGCGAAGGACGGCTTTTCCGATGACTATATAAAGTATGCTTGGCTTTCACGCTGAAT